TGTCACGAATCCATTTTGTCTTTCAGCTGCTTTTCAATCAGTAGTCGAATAAGCGTCTCTACGCCTTTGAGCACTACTGATGTTAGTGCCACTGGGTAGTAGTTTTGCGGATTTATTACATGACATGTTTAAGGTATTCATTAAAGATGCTACTGAAGCTGCCAGCAAGATCAACTTGACAGAGTTTCAAAACAGCAACATAACTCCATCCGGAGCACAAGCGCAATCTGACCGCATGTAAGAGAAGAAACGGTGTACTGCATCATAGCTGAACTTTATGAAATAATCAAGTGGTCCGGTACTCAAGATGTTACCATATGAGCTCTTCAAACGCGCTCACTTTCAAATCGCAGCATTTGGCTGAGTGCATGCCGGTCTGATGGAGGTTGAGCCTTTCGGGATGACTTGTACCGATTGCAGTTCCGAATGCAGGCCAAAACTCCTTCGTTTTGCTTCAGTTAAGTGCATTTTCAAAGTGGGTTTTGGTAAGTTCTTAATTTCGCTTCGAATCAAGGTACGTACAGTACTGCTTAAATCTTGGCCCCCGTTCCGGTACACTCTCTCTTGCAGGCGATCGAGCCGCTAGATTGTTGGAGCTGCTATAAAATTTTGACAGACAAAAATATCACGACACACAGAATTGATGCATGCTGACATGGAATTCACTTGTTCCTGTAGGGAGGAGCTTCAAAGACGGACAAATCTGTATTTACAAATATGTTATGCATCTGCTGCCCCTTCGATGCAATGAACAACTTAGATTCCTGGTAGATGTTTCTTGGTATCGACAAGCGCCGACCGAGTTTGCTATAGACTTTCGGGAATGCGCGAATAGTACAGTAGTCGGACAAGCCAAATGATGTGCCTTTACTGGTCACATATAACGTCGGCACATTTGTGAAAACAAAGCGAGTGGAAAACTCGGTACTGTCTTCTAGGACAAAAGAAGTAATACCATTTGTACAGTGGTATTTTCGATCGATATTCCCAGCCACATGAAATAAGACAATCCCAAGATGAGTTGAGATTCCTCAGATCAAGTTATCGGAAAAGTTACATAACGGGCAATATAAACGTTCAACAAACTTACGCTCGAAAATTATGTTAAGAATTGCTTCTTACACATAACAGCAAGACACTGAACGTTTATGTAGTAGCTCAGGATGACAGAAAACCGCGAACAGTACTCACGATGGATCCATTCTGCGAGTACACAACCTGGATGCTTATTCTTGGAATTTCTGTCGTTTCTGAACAAGCGATATTTTCGCAAGCTGACGAAATCTCACAAGCAACGCATTTGCAACGTCTGTACG